CGTATAACCCACCACCCCACACCCGGATTTATTTAAGGGTTCGTTTGAAATTCAAAAAAAGACTTTCATAAATCATTTTATGAATTTTCTTGTGTTTGTGTATCAAGAAAAATAAAGTCAACAGAAAAATGTTCAATTTGACATAATTACAGAAAATATCTTTCTAATTTTTTAGACGGGTTATTCGAGTTGGCATGTGTAACCCGTGGGCCAACCCGTATAACTCACCACCCCACTTAATTACAGAGAGAGCGAGACGGAAGAGGGAGGACCATGGTGATGATTTGATGAATACAAGTAATCATTACAAATTCCTTACCCGTTCAGAAGAAGATCATCGTGGAGACCCATGCGAGCATTGGGAAGGCTATTCTGGAGGTTCCGACGGGAGTGGCTCTTCGCATCGGAAGCTTCACGATTCGTTGGTTGCCGTTGCGATTACCTCTGCCATTCTACGGCGGCGACGGTGGGAAGAAGAGAAAGGTGTCGCCTGATTGTTACTCGACGAGAGCCGTAGACACCAAACGACGTCGTACCAGCTGAACAAAACAACGAGAGAAATGAGGAGAGCCCGTGCCACAATTTCTAGGGTCGGGTATGGCTCGGGCGGTCAACCGGCGATGAAAGGAGTAGGGCTCGTACACGCCTGATAGGATATTTGGAGCTCCCCAACTCTATTGGCCAAATTGTAGACGCTCGCACTGTCGTTCTTCGCGGCAGTCTCCGTCGCTATGGCCTTGAACAGTTAGACGAGGCCGCAACAGATTGACCATTAACCGCCGCTGCCGCCAAATAGGTGAGAAAAGGAAGAAGAGAGCAAGCTAATGAAATTACCATTACACTAATGCCTAACTAACTGAATGTTCACGGAAGGACCAATGCTGGAACAAATTTATAAAAGTCAAGTGTCTTTTTTGTCCAAATTAAAAAACGATGACTAATTTTAGAAAATTGCAATAGTCGGATGACCATTGCTGGAAGAGTAAATACATAAAATAGTCCCTCGATTATAGCTAAATTCACAAATTGGTCCTCGACTTTCAATTTCAACAAATTAAGTCCTTAACTTTGTAATTTTAACACAATTTGGTCCTCTATCTATTGGACCGTTTGTTGACTGCGATTTTTGAGGATATATATGTAATTTCATGGTCCATCGTCAGATTTTTAAGGTTCCGGTTGCATTTCCAGACCTCACTGTTACATTTGAATCCACTGCCGAAAGCAATTTCCCAAATCCGTTCGCCTTTCTTCATCCTCCATTTGGATTCAATGTAGTTGAGTTTGTATCAGAACGAAGAAGACGACATGTTTTCGAACCAATGCAACGTCATCCTGGAAGCCTCCACGTGCTTCGACGAGAGCTGAAGGTTCTTCTAGAGATCGTCGATCACGGTCAACAAACGATCAAATAGATGGAGGACCAAATTGTGTCAAAATTACAAAGTTAAGGACTTAATTGGCTGAAATTGAAAGTTGAGAACCAATTTGTGAATTTAGCTATAGTCGATGGACGATTTTGGGTATTTACTCTGGCTGGAATTAACTCTTTTAATTATTTAACTAATAATTGTGGTGCTTTCAAAAAAAAAAAAAAAAAAAAAAAAAAAACCTAATAATTGTGAAAAGTGTAGAAGTTGTTTGGTTAGCTGACTATTCAGGTTTTATTGAGCCTACAAAATGTGAGCTACTTACATTTGTAATAAATGTGTCTGTGTATGTTGTATGTTGTTTATACCAAAACTATATTCATATTTAATTTGCTAGTAATTTTAAGATTTCCTAACACTTTTTTTTTTTTTCAAGAAAATGACAGATGATAACATTCATAGTCTGATGTTTCATAAAGTTTTACTTTGTTAGAAAATGTTTCTCAAATTAACTTATATATTAGTAACCGAGTTTCATGAGCTTTAACTCCTTTAAGCATATGATTACATATTATTCTCATGCTATAGACTATGTACTTGTATTAACTTTCAATATAAATATCTTTAACCTTCATGTTTAGGTTCACTTGCTTTCAAGATGCTAATAATTTTAATTTTTTTTTTTTTTGAAAACCACCAATAAATTGAGTTGAGTTTACCAAGCTCGAAAAACAGTTGAGTTTACACCATTTTCGCGGTAAGAACATGTGCAACTCGTTCACAGACCGACAAATAAAATTAATATGAGAAGAACCCAAAACACTAAACAAAGAATAACAATCATCATAAATATAACCAATATAATAACCAAATGATGCTTGGCTTGACAAGTTCGTACAGAGAACCCAAAGCACCGATGGAATACCACTGAAGAACCCAAATAGCATGTTGCCATTAATTCCGCATGAGCTAACCAATCCTCCACCGGCAACACATGCAAAGCATGCCATACTCTCTTAGCATAAATACACTGCCCAAACACAACAAATGCATCAAACTCTCAGGCTCCACCACAAACACGTACAAGTTGCTATATCTTCTTCGATCTTCTTTTATTTTATTTTTGAAACAGTGCTGCGGTTTGATGCATGCTCAGACCTTACTATAAATGATTCATTGGTAATTATTATTATTGGTATTATTCCTAGCAAGTGCAACCGTAGCGTTGTTTCAAAATGGTCTACTATTAGACTATTTGAAATCATCCCGTGCATGTTTCACTCATGTTCCCAGAATACTTCATTGGAATTGCCTTCACTAGTTTGATTTCTCAAAATTGGCCAAATTATGAACAAATTATGAACGTAATTCTGATTAAGTGTTCTGGAAACACGAGGGGAACAGACGGCATAATTTCAAAAAGTGTAATGGGCGAAATAGACTATTTTGAAACAGTGCTACGGTCGCACCTTGCTAGGATATAACAATTATTCTTGCTCTTCAATCGCCGTTGATTTCATTCTCCGTATCGGTACAATATGTTTTTTCTCAGTCAATTTCTCTTTCTATATCTCCGAATGTATTTATCAAAACACAGTGCATTCAATTTCTCTTTCATATGGCCTGGGAGTCCAACCCGGGCGCCATCTGACCACAATGTGCTTGGCAAAAAAGATTAGCTTAAATTTAGTGAAACTTTACCAGTCGTCATTGGGCTAAATTCCAGGACCGATGCACATTTCTGTTTACCAGAATTCATTACAACTGCAATTGCCACCCACAAAATGGTGAAACCTGTTGCAGTCTCTAACAGTAATCTCTCTGGCATACACCCTAGAGATCATCTTTATGGCAGCATGGCAATCACTGCATATCCTGATGTTCTTAACTATGCGTATTGGAACACCCGGGCTAGTCTTCATGATGGCAAATGCAATTGCCAGTTTCTCACTATGGCGCGAAAGAACCAACTCCTTTCCCTCCTCGTCTAGATCAAGATCAAGCAACACCTCTTTTGTATTGCTAACATAGCCCTCCGTTCTTATCCTGCTCACAATTTCGTCGAGCATCATGTATATTTGTTTTGTGTCTTGGCGAGGTGACGTGTCTCCTACGTAAAACTCGTGCACAATGCCATCCACTTCTACCAAACTGCACCCGGGAACTTTCTTTATCCCCTTTGCCTCCATAAGGCCTCTCACACGCCTCGCGTCCTTCCACCTGCCCATCTTTGCATATACATTTGACAGAAGAACATGAGCTCCACTATTTGTGGGTTCCAATTCTAGTATCTTGTTGAGTGCGGCCTCACATGTTTCGATATCTCCACACGTCCTAGCTCCACTAAGAAGAGCTCCCCAAACAAGAACATCTGACTGGATAGGCATTGATTTCACAAGCTCCCATGCTTCATCAATCAGACCGGTCCTTGCATAAAGATCAACCATACAACCATAGTGCTGAACTGAAGGTGCAATGCCGAATTCTTTCTGCATCATCTCAAAGATTAGCTTCCCTTGGCTCACAAGCCCAGCATGCACACAAGTGCAAAGAACACTGATGAATGTAACTCCATTAGGGCTTATGCCAGAGCCAATCATCTTTGAAAATAAACTAAGGCATTCCTCCTTGTGGCCATGCATAGCCAAGCCAGAGATCATGGCAGTCCAAGTTTTCACATCTTTAGTTGGACCCAGATTTTCAAACGCCAATCTTGCCCTCTCAATGCTCCCACATTTTGCATACATGTCAATCAAAGAAGTCCCCAACACATCACCAATCCTCATCCCACATTTTTCAATGTAAAGATGAGCCCACTTTCCATGCTCCAGGGCACCCAGCTTTCCACAAGCAGAGAGCAAAACGGACATGGTGAACTCATTAGGTCTAACCTCATCCAGCGTTTGCATCTTACGGAACAACATCAATGCATTTTTATACTGACCCGTTTTGACATACCCTTCCATCATGCAACTCCAAGATACAGCATTTCTCTTTGGCATCCTATCGAACACCTTGCGCGCGGAGACAACCATGCCGGCTTTCACATTTGCATTGAGCATCGAATTCCAAGATGGCAAGTCCGGTTGGGGAATTTCGTCGAACGCCTGTTGGGCAAAACCTAAGTGGCCGCAACAGGAGTACATATTGACAAGGGATGTCTGTACAAACAGGTTGTCCGATAATCCGAGGTGGATAATGAGTGAGTGAATGGAGCGCCCTGTGTGGAAGTATCCGGGTGAGGTAAAGGATTGGAGGAGGAAAGGGAAGGTGTGGGAATCGGGTTGGACGCCATGGGAGCGCATGCGGAGGAAGATGGAGAGCGGCGTGACGGAGGGATTTGTTGGTTGGGCATGGGCACGAATGAGAGTGTTCCAGACGAAAGATTCAAGCGTTGGATAGCAGAGATTGAGAGTGGGATGCGTTACCGATATCGCCCTGCCACCGCTTAATACTTGCATTTCCGGTGGCGCCGCCGCGGGAAGTGGTGCCGGCAATCAACTAACTCTCCCGCCGCGTCGCTCCCGGCCCATTTTGTCCAAATATACGAACAAAACGAAACAGAGAGCCCACCTTATAGCCCAATAGGATTAGATTAAATGGGCCGGGCCTCACAAACAACTAAACGGCCGCCCTCACGCCGTCGCAGGGAAATTGAACTACGATGGAAGCAGACATCTCCGGCGAGTTCCCTTGCTCTTCGATCGCCGTTGATTCCGTTCTCCGTATCGGTACAGTATGTTTTTCTTCTCTCAATTTCTCTTTCTATATCTCCGTATGTATTTATCGAAACACACTGCATTCAAACAGTGAACTTATCTATCGCAGGCTGGCTTGATCTGGGGCGGTTTGACCGGCCCTCTCGACGCCGACAAACAAGGTTGTCGCCATTTCTGATCATCGAGCACCTTAAATTATTTACTTCTGATTTAGTTACTTAGTTTTTGTTTGTCATTCATTCAGATTCATTGTCTAAACTTCCACAGGTCTCACTGGTCTTGCTCGTGCGCCGTTCATCGTAAGTTCTTCATTTTCTTCTCAAGTATTTCTCAAACACTTCTTTGAATGCTATACTGTCTTCTGTGTTTCTGATTGTTCAAAATGTGCTCCCATTTTCATTTTTCTTCAAATACAGGCTAGATCAATCGGCCGGTTGGGCTTTCAATGGGGTAAGAAAAAAAAAAATTAATCTTGTTTTCTGTGTTGGAACTGACTCTGCATGTTTTTGAGTTCTGAATTCATTGTTCTGTATATTTTAGTGGAAAAAGTTTGATTCTTTGAGCGTCTGAGTTTATAATTATAACTTTGTTGAATTGAGAAATTTCTTAGTTCCAGTAGGATAGTAATGAACTTCTCTCTTCAAAAGATATGAACTTCTGGCTGGTTGCATATGAAAGGATTCTGCTAGCAGCTAGCCTTCTTTGCCTTCTTGATGACACTAGTATTCTGACCTTGAGAGGAATGAGAAAGAAATAATCTTTTGTATAAAAACTAAGGAATTCTCGAGTTTGGTGGCTAAACGAGTCTAATGGTTATGAACTTAGCCTTCCTGACACCTTGAGAGGAATGAGAAAATAATAATCTTTTGTATAAAAACTAATGAATTCTCGAGTTTGGAGCACTAAGTGCTCACAATGGCTAAACGAGTTAGCCTACCCCGACTTCCATATCCACGTTTTCATAACTTTTTCTCATTATTGTTTTTAATGTTTTTATCTTATGCACTTTGGGTTCTTGTCTTCAGGACTCTTTGCTGCAGTTTTCTCATTCACTCATTGTGGTGTCCAAAGATACAGGAGGAAAGCTGATTTGGTTTGTTCATTTTCACTTTCACTTTGACATTTTTAGGTCTCTTTGCTACTTTTTACTTGGTTTTTATGTTTCAATTCACCTGACTAATTACAGTATGATATTAACGAATACTCGCTTTCATGTTTTCTTCTGCACAAGCCTTAGTCATTCGTTACCATGATTTCATGTGTTGCAAATCTGCACGACGATTTGATCCTTGACAAGTATTATGCTGCCACAGTTTTTCCTCTAAGGCTGAAGTTTATGCGCTTCTGTTTTGTTTGCAGGTTAATGTTTTGACAGCAAGCGTCGTAGCAGGCACAGTGATTGGTGGTACTCGACAATGGAAGCAGGTTGCGGGAATAACAGGTCTTGTATGTCTCTTATATGGCGTTAACGACGGCTCTAGATCAATCTAGAAAGCATTTGGGGAAGAAGTGAACCAGTAGGCTTAAAGGGACTGACTTCCAGCTTGATTCATCTTCTGCCACAGAAGTTATACATTCACATTTTCATTGTGATTATTTGGTTTTGTTATCTTTTCACTTATAGTTCATAGTTTGAACCTCAACTAGAGTCTTTTCTAGCTTCTAGGAGTAAAACTATTGCTGCATTGTAGAATCAATGCTTACATCTGCATAAGAGAGATAGAAAAATAGTCTTTTTAACAAAGAATATTGCATTAATGACATTCTAATATGCAAAGTGACTTTCTCATAAAAGCTTATCGAAAAAACTACTTTGAACAGTTTTTTGAATTTTAGCATTTTGGAATATTAAGTTGTTACCAAAGCTGATTAATTAAACACTCATATTGATTGTTTAACCAAGTCAAATAATTAAGTCAAAAATTGACTGATAAGTTAACTATGTTACCAAATATGACCTACACTTCCACGGGTTTAGCTCAATGGTTTAGTTGGCAGCATTTGGGAGAAGAGACCAAATTTTAACCTTGGCGGCAGTGTGGGAATTATGTCCAAGGGCAGATTCTTTGTGCGCTCTGTCTATTGAACCATTGAGTCACCGGGATTTACATCCTCTCACATGCTTCTGAGTGAAGATTAATTTAGCTTTAAAATTCAGCTCCAAATTATAATAATTGAACCTCACCCTATATTTGAATAAGACTTCATGTACTAAACTAATGATACTCAAAAAAAAAAGATTCTATTTTTATCATTATCCAAAAAGAAAAAAGTTGTGGAAGGAGGGATGGGCTATGCCCATACGTCACTTGTCATTATTATCTGAATTCGCTACGAACCAAAAGTCCAAAACCGAGCTTCCCCATTTCACTCCACCTTTGCACGCCATGAATCATAATATTATCAACTTCTCCAAATCTCTTCTTCACACCGTCTTCTTATAACAAGCATTATACACAGATCTTAGCAAACTTTTGATTCTTTTCTTCTTGGTAAAAGATGGCTCTTGAATATCAAGAGGTTTGTCGTCTTCCCATCATCATATATATATATAGCCCTTAGCTTGCACGTTTGATCATGGTTACATGTTATTATATCCACGTCTGGGAATTATGTTGAATGGTTAAAATTATTGTCAGGGATACATAAGGAATTCAAGAGGGGTGCAGCTTTTTACTTGCAGATGGCTGCCCTTTTCTTCTCCAAAGGCCCTTGTTTTCCTTTGCCATGGTTCTCTCTCTCTCTCTATCTATCTATCTCTCTCTTTGTTTTGTTTTATGATTTTTTTTTTTTCTGGTTTTCAATAAAGATTGATTAAGGAGGTTTCAGGGTATGGCATGGAATGCAGTGATTTCATGAAAGGTAATAAATGTTTGTTCCCTCCAATCTTACTTGTTTTCACTTTTTTTTTTTTTTTTTTTTGTTTTCTAATATTCTTTTGGAGGCTGTCATCAATGCTGGGTGTTTCTTTCACTCTTTTTGCCCTTCCCAAACTATTCTAATTATGCCACTGCAATTCTAGAAAACCAAACAATTGAGCAAAGTGAATCCTCTTGTTTTCAGACAATATAATGAACCTTGTTGAGGTTGTTTCTTTTGGTTTGGTCCCTCAAAAGATTCTTCCTTTTCCAGCATTAATTCAAGAATGGATATCCCAATCTTACTATTTGGTAGAATGTTCTATCAATTTTTGGTAGGTTGTTAACCAAGGACCCAGAATGGTCAATGGCCTTAGCTGGGAAGTGCAGGGCAATATCCTAATCTCTTGCTCCCTTATCCTCAACTTTAAGTAACTTCACAACATACCAGTTGAACTCGCAGTTTTATACCCTTATCCTCAACTTTAAGTAACTTCACAACATACCAGTTGAACTCGCAGTTTTATATTATTATTATTTTTGTTCCCCTTTCTTTGATTTACGGGAAAGCCCACAACCAAATGTGTGCTTTGAGTGAAGCTCGTCTTATGTCCCTAGTTGGCTGGCTCAAACCAAGACGGCCAATAGACCCCTTCGAGGAGTCAAACTTGAAACTTTGTGGTTAGTTGGTTACCGAGCCAACTACCTGACCAACTTAGTTGGGTTGCCGTGTTTCCCATTTCTCACCCTTTTGTAGTGCACATGCAATTATCCGAAGTTGCAAACTGCTAGAATATTTAGTGGCGCAATAATTGGTGTTGGCAAACCCTTCCTTCCCTTTTAAGCTTTTAAAGATATTGTTTAAAATTTTGCAGTTTATGCTAAGACATAGTCTTTTATTGTTGCTTTATGCAATACATTATTCATGCTTTTCTGCTTGAAATAGAAAACATAAATACTTATATAGGTAAATTATGTTCAAGCACATGACATGGTTCGTTCAATCAACAGACCTTATAACATTTGGATCTTATGAACTTGAGTATGCACAAATGACAAAATTTTACACTGCAACAGAGATTCGAGAGTGATAAATTTATATGAGATTATCTTGATGGTTCTAAGTTCAACAAACTGTATGATCGATCATGATATCTTAATATACTCTGCATTTGTTGTAACTAGATGTTGGGATCAAGCTATCTACCCATGGCTATGCTGTGTTTGGAATCGATTATGAAGGGCACGGGCGGTCAATGGGTGCTCGCTGTTACATCAAAAGCTTTGACAACATTGTGAAGGATTGCAGTCTCTTCTTCAAATCGGTTTGTGGTAAGCTGCCTGTCATCTTCCATAACAATAGCTTTTCACCATTTTTGCTCATCTTATTGAATTAAACGTGTTTGTTTAAGCTATATATTGAATTAAACACGCTCGTTTAAGCTACATTTACCATTTGCTTCATCTGCTGCCTAAACTGTGTCATTTTGGATTCCAGCACAGGAGGAGTACAGAGAGAAGAGAAGGTTTTTGTATGGAGAATCTATGGGAGGGGCAGTGGCTCTGTTAACACACAAAATGGATCCTTCTTTCTGGCATGGTGCGATTCTTGTTGCTCCTATGTGCAAGGTAACATCCATATAGAAGAATCATGTATGTTATTATTGGACGTAATATATAGATAAATAAGGAATTATATCTATCAGATATCTGAGAAGGTGAAGCCACATCCCATGGTTATAAGCTTGCTGACTAAAGTTGAAGATGTGATACCAAAGTGGAAAATTGTTCCCTCAAAAGACATCATAGATTCAGCCTTCAAAGACCCCGCGAAACGTGAGGAGGTGAGTAAAATGTTAAAACCCGAGAAATCACAAGGACGGTTACATTTATACATTGATATTCTCTTAACAAATATTGTTGAACGTAGATACGGGGAAACAAGTTGATCTACCAGAATAAACCCAGACTGAAAACCGCTCTAGAAATGCTAAGAACTAGCATGAACCTCGAGGAAAGTTTGTGGAAGGTAAGCATTTATTATATTATTGCTCAAATTCTATGATGCACAAAAACTCCTAAGGGTTAGCATTTTCATGTTTCCCGTTCTCAACATAGCTAGCTAGCTCAATAGAGTTGATGCAGGAGATACTTACTTGTGTTTGACAGATTACACTTCCATTCTTCGTGCTGCATGGTGAAGAAGATACAGTAACAGATCCAGAAGTGAGCAAGGCATTGTACAAACAAGCCAGTAGTAAAGACAAGACAATCAAATTGTATCCTGGAATGTGGCATGGTCTGACATCCGGTGAGCCTGATGACAACGTTGAACTTGTGTTTTCAGACATTATTTCTTGGCTTGATAAGCGATCTTCAAATGAAACTGATGCTACTTCCCAATCCCAAGTAATTCCACAATTTCATTCTGCAATGTAAAGATCTTAGTAATAATATTTTTGATATGTTCTGTCACCTGTTTAATGCTGTGATGAGTTCCACCACCATTTTCACCTGTGGCGGCTGTTTAATACTATCTTCCACACAAAATGGGAGGAACAGCAATGTTGATTTGATCATAAAACAAACTGCAGTGTAAACACTTGTATTCGTGTATTATAAACGTACACCGAATGATAGATTATGGTGATTACTTGGCATTTAGGAGTCTAACTTGGCAAGCAACCAATAACAGATGCTGTCAACATTCCATGTCACAAAAAGTACAATTCATTTAATTCTTTATTCTCAGAGGATTCAGAAGCATCCAATTCAACCTGCTTCAAATGGTTAAAACCATAACAATAAAGGAAAAATGTCAATCAATGATGAGTTCCACCACCATTTTCACCTGCCTTGTCCTTCTGCCCAGCTGCTCTTAGTTGACGCTGCTCTTCCTTGTATATCCGATTCCTACGTTGATACTGCAAACAATAGAAATCTTTGTTGATGCAACAATATAACCTTTTCATGTTAATTCCATGCAATATGCCAATATTAATGGTGTGTGGGTTAAAATAAACAGGCATGCATTTCATATTCATGCAACCATTCAAATTTATAAAAATGGAAAGGCTTGCTGGTTGTGAAGCATGAAAGCAAAAAAGGCTTCCATTCTAAAATTTTGCTTACACCTACCTATGGGCTATGGGAGAATTAATTGAAACTAAAGTTGAAGCAGAGAGAGACAATGAAACAAATTAACCTTCCCTGGTTGACATCTATTTAGTAACCAATAATATTATTATTATGCTTTCCATTCCTCTGGAAACTTTCCTGTTTCCAAGATGCTACTGAAATCTCCCAACCCCCCTCCTCCCTGACTCCAAAAATAAAGTGTTATTCAGGCTAAAGATCCAATAGAGCATGAAACTTGAGAACATCAAACTGGTCAAACAATTCTATCTTTTTATTGTATGTAAATGAATAAATCATCCTCCTAGACAGTTTTATAAATTGTCCTCACATGGAACACTGCACATACATAACAAGGGACAAATAAAGAAATATAGAGGAACCTGAAGAATAATAGCCACATTTGAGGACCTGAAATCACATTCATGACATATATACTTTCAACAATCTTAATGGCATTTGCCATTTTGGTGATTTTTATGCGTATGCCGTTTACAAGCCTCTCATTTTCTTTCTTTCTTTTGTTTCAATTGTTTGTTTTGCATTTTTATCATTGTCTCTTTGTCTCTCTTATCCCTTTTTCACATTCTATAAACCCATCCCAAAAAGAAAAACATCACCATATTTTACCACCACAGATGATGGGGATCATCACCAAGAAAAGGAATGCTTCACCTTTTTATGAAGGAACCTTTTGCTTTTCAAGCCATGTTTTTCTTTTCTTTTTTCTTGTTTTCCTTCCATGACGAAAAACAAGATAACTATTGGCACAACTACAGGTCCTTCACTGGTTATAGGTGGTGCCTAAAAGTTCATCTTATAGCGCAGATAAAATACGCAAAGGGTTCACGTTCACCTTAGCCTCAAATCGATGTTCACAAAAAATGGAGGGTAGGGTCCTTCACATTTGCAAGAATACCATGTTACCTACTCGACTACCAATGAAAAACACTGCAGGGACAATGGCATAATCTACCAGGCACAAATTGTCTAAGCATTGATTTCTCGGCTAAGAAGATCATCGATCTAAGAAAGACATAAAGGGCAATGCTATCTATTACTGATTGAATATATCCTAATACTGAAAAGCTCTAATTTTTATCTCAAAACCCTACATCACCTGGACTGATTTGGGACCAGCTTGATATGAACATCCTTAACAAAAACAATAGCTCCTCCATATGAGATCAAAAGCTCGAATCTAAATTTGGATAGAGATGGAGCGGAAAGAAAGAATTAAGAGCATAAAGTGAGTAGAGAGGAAGGACCTCTTTGGAGTGGTGGAGACACTCGAGATAGTCTTCTCGGAGAAGAGCGCAGTCCTTGGGCTCCCGGCAACCGGACATACATTCACTGAAATCCATCCAGAAATCGTAGCAGCGGCCTTTGTTCCCAGTAATTCCCCATCCCGACGCCATTCTCTTCTTCTGAAACTCTTCGCCGAAGAAAGTGTGATCGCAGCAAGAGCAACAATGCCGTCCGAGCAGAGTGAGGGAGATGGTGAATGGTCCTAATGGATTTGATCGATCCGGGTAGTATCCATAAGCCCACATTGAAGCCCAAATTAATGGCCCAGTCTGTCCCATCTCAGTTGTTTCACCTTACAATGTGGACCCTGATCCTAAATTGTATTCCGTCTATTTTTAGTATTGAAATTGTAAATATCTAAAATATAAATTGAGTTTTTAAGTTTTGAGAATTTATAAATATAATACATCACAAATTGCAAATTCTTTTGTACCAAAAAAAAAAAAAAAAACAAATTATATATTTTTAAAAGGTAAATTGTGTATCTTTAAACTTAGATCCACCTTGCAAGTTGAATCTGAGTCTACAGAATAACTTGCCGTCCCGTCTATAACTTTTTGTTTGTCTTATTTATATTTAGACACCGAATATTGTATATTTGTATGTAAAAATTAGACGTTATATGTAAAAAAAAAAAAAATGTTTTAACTTAGAATTGGACTTCTCGTGCGCAGAAGTATCCAATCAGATATACACTCCAACAAAAAATGACTGGAAAATAAAAACTATAGAATGAAAATAGTAGATAATTTAGGGATTATGCTATCTTGCAAAAATAATAATAATAATAATAAGTTTCTACACCATTTTCTTTCTTAATCATGTATTAACCAATAAGCAATATAATGCAAAAAGTTACAGACAGGCCAAAATTTGCTAGTGTTGATTAAGCTTGGAGGACAAAAAGTAACACTATAAAAAGATCAACATGCCAACAAATGGAAGCCATTGGAGCTCTGAGCATACTTGAGTTAGAGCATCTAATTGAAACATTCAAAGGCATTGCTATTCAATTCGCAAACAGGTTATTGTCTAATCTTCCTCAATTTCTTCTTCCTCCTCTTCCTCTTCCTCTTCATCTTCTTCTGCTTCTTCTTCCAAATCCTCGTCGCTTTCTTGCTGGTTTTCAGTTTCACTTCCTTGCTGTTTTTCGGCACCACTATTTCCTGAAAGTTGCAAAAATGGTAGCTATAAATATTATGAGGGCTGCATTGCTCCACAATCAGGAAAAACTCTTATATTCCTATGTGCCTTGCAAAGGCTCTAGTTGTTTAAAGAAAAGTAGTAATATTTTCTAGAATTAGTCGATGCTTGCCAAAAGAAATAAATAACTGTATAAAAAAAACATACCGAATTCACTAAAAATGACTCCACCCGAACATAATCCCTCCTCAACCTTGACTAGTTGGAGAGTCATTCTAGGCCCAATTTCTTGAAGTTTGACAGCACTTTTTGTCGAGGCTTTATTTAGTCTACCGAGATCAGTTGCTAAATTTACAGTTGCTGCCTCATCATCTGCTTCGCTTTCTGATCCATAACCAGCCCTAATAACCAAAACAAGAATGACAGAAAACAAATCAATTGAATACGACAAGACTATAGCACACTTGATCTTTCTTTTTCTTTTGAAAACCACACTTGATCTTTCTTCTTTATCCATTAAGGAGATGTTACAAAAGTCCATTGCTTAGTATCTTCCTGTTATACTTTCTACTACATGGTATTCTCTAACTCTATAATGTTTTTTGGTTTTTGCAAGGAACCAAGATTAGCTTAACTAAAAGTTGAACCCACACCTCCCGTTCTCTCATTGACCATGTTAAACAAGATTTAAAATAAGAGTTTAGAAAAGAGAAACAGCCATACTTTGTAATAAAGTCGCTCATATCTTGAAGACTACTTAGATCAGGCACTTGATGGCTTTGTACAAATTTCCGTATCCTGCGTGAAACACCAACAGGCTGTAGCCTGATTGAGTAATGCCGAAAGTCAATAACTTTCTTCTCCTTGTCATAGTTAAGTAAAACAATCCTTTGGCAAGAAGAAAGCTTGACCTGCAAGATGGCTAATGATTACTAAGGAGCAACAAAAGAGACATTCTATATGCTGTGTGTGTGTGTGTATTATATCTGATGAGTTTCACCCACAGTGTTTATATCGATGGCAGGGAAGATATTCTGAAACATAATAGTCGTGAGCTTTAGATGTTGTTCCCCAGTCCCGAAACCAGAAAGCACAATCTGCAATATTTAACTCGCAGATCTTAGCAAAGCAAGCAAACAATACAGTACAGGGTTTCTAATATAGACTAGGAATAAATTCGGCATCAGAAAAAGCAGTCATATCTATATCCATATGACAATAAGTGGAGTTGTAAGTGTAAAAGATTACCAAGGGGGAGTTTTTAAAAAGATTTGGAGGACGCCTTGGGTGCAATTGAGATTTTGCAATGTCAGCAGCCAGTGCATACTCGAGTATTTTAAATGTAAGGGTTGGGCCCTGAGGGGCACGAGCAACCCGTAAGTATGGAGAAGCGTTGGTTTTTGATAAAATGAGAAAATGTGTAACACCCATCGGCCCTGCAAAATTCAAGAACTCCTTGAGCTTATTGCGCTTCGTTTCCTGCAAGACAAAGCAGAAAAGCGAAAAATGTCAAGTGAGTACATGCAGAACAGATTCGAACCCATGACCTTTAGTCTGACTCTGATACCAAATTGAAATGTGCTCCATCTCAACTAAAAGCCTAAGCTGATAGTGAGATTGCACATTAATGGTTACATGCTCAACACTCCCATTTTGAAGCCATCTCTCCTTTTTAATCTTTTCCTTTTAAGGTCGAAAATCAAAATATCACCCGATTCATCTCTGTTGTCTTTTAAAGTCATTTTGCATGAAATCCTCCTCAGTCCGACAGAAAACTGAGAATATGCATATTCAGCGTAAATCCTATTGAATGTTTAGAATGAAAATGCTTACCTTGAGATTGAGAGCAGTATAAGGACGCATCAATTCTCTCAAATCTTTTCGCAATGTTCTAAGAG